GAATAGGGACCCTTGCATAAAAAGTTCTAAATTCATACTTATAAGATGGTAAGTAGTAGGTATTCAAAGTATTCATATTCAATCCCTCATTAAATCTCCGTTTGACTGATGGATGGTCTAAGAATGTTGGTAGGTATAATTTATTGGTTCATAATACAAGTGGTATTTAAAAGCTTATTTAAATTCACAAAGAAAAATTGACACGAAAAAAGGTTGGTACCTAGTAGGTATGTGCAAATTCGCCATAGTTCAATTTTATGAACTACTAAACTTTTTATATATGAAATGGATTAATCAATAATCATTATTGTTATGTGAAGAATTACTTTGTGATGAAAGTACCAACAAAATATTTTTTTTTTTAATTTATTAAAATTGTAGTAACATTAAAATACAAAACGATAATTCGAAAACTCTAATAAGTCCCGTATGGTCTAGTGGCTAGGATACCTGGCTTTCACCCAGGAGGCTCGGGTTCGATTCCCGGTACGGGAAAGTACCTTTTTGGTTACATGATAATAAACAAATTAATGGAACTAAAGCTTGTATCAACCATTCATAATAAAATGCAAACAAATGCGTTTTTTTTGACAGAATCGCCTGTAATACACCTAAATTATTGCCGGCGACTTCTGCGTGGAATAATTGTTTTCCTATACAAACAGCCATTCCCATTTTCACCCCCTTTGAAGAGGTAACAGACAGACACGCTTTCGCATTTATGATACATGTATGAGTATATATTCTTTGAACTATTCCATTATTTTGGCGATAGATTAAATAAAATAGGTTCTTACAATTATTCATGTTTAAAAATTAAATTAATTGCATAAGAATTATTATATTTTTAATATTTTCTTATTATTTTTCTTACGGCCGTGGATTTCTCCATTTCAGCCTTTCTTTCTATTTATCTATCTTCAAAGATATTCATTACAGTCATATTCGGATAAGATATGATATGTTTGAGTATTTAAGTATGATAGATGCCAATTATGCTACAGTTGTCGTATATCTGAAGTTAGTCAAAAACTTGTTTAATATTAATGTTATTAATTGTTACGTCTACAGAACTATTCAATACATTTTTATTAAATATCATATAACTGCTCTTAGTAGGGTTCAATTCTAATGTCAACCCATCATCTTATATGTAAAATTATCGTGTCACAATGTTTGTTACCATACTCCTCCGAAATGGCTTGACCGATTTTTATGAATTTTTATGCATATTCGGTAGGTCTGAGAATCGGCTACAATCTATTTTTCATACCCCGAAGTGATAAGGATTGTCCACCTAACACCACCTAACATTTTGGTTTTGACGTGACAACGTCTTAAATTAGGTTGCGGCTGGGAGTCACTTATGAAAAAGTATAACGCTCGGTAACGTTACGATGAGTTTAAGTTTACATGTACAATGTTTTAGTAAACAAAATATATTTCTATAGTTAAAATTTGTGCAATTCTTATTTTCATTCAATTCCTTGTTCCTATTGTGCAATTTAATTATATTCATATCAATAAATATTCTACCGAGAAAAAGACGTTGTCACGTAAAATCTTCGCCCGTAAAACCGACTTTACAGGCAACCATTTTTTTTTTATTATTTGGCATTTAAAAATACATACTACCCTAAAGTTTCTACCATCAACCCCTATTTTTATGGCGGTACGATGTTCACTGGGTCAGCTAGTTGCAATATAAATTTCATTGAGAGATTTATTTAATGTGAGTCATGCACTCATAAATATTTCTTGAAGAGGAAATAAACGGTAGTATCTTTGCTGGAATATTTAAAGAGTTTAAAATGACCATTAAAGTTACTAAGTCTATATTATCAAAACCGCCTTTTACATTTAGAAATACGCTCACTAAATATGAATAATTATTATGGGATCTTTCAATATCAGCTGTTAACTTCAAAAGGCTATCTGTGCTACTTTTTTCGCTTTATAAAAGCTTAACTTTTGGATGGGAATAATATTCGAGCTTTGCACAAAAAACTCTGGACAGCAATGACCATATTTGCGAAAAAAAAGAATTCGGCTTGATTGACAGCAGGCAATTTCTTTTTATTAAAACGAATGAAAATTCCAGACGGGTCGGGTCACACTAATACAAAACTAAACTAAAATTAGACCGTTTCAGGTTAAATTTAAATAGCCCTCATAAATACTGCATGGGGACCCCTAGCGACACGAAAAAAGTATCGATACTTTGTGGTATCGAGTACTTTTCCTTTCGATACCGATACTTTTGTACTCGATACTTTGTATTCGATACTTTTACTAAATGAGTACTTTTTGGCAAGTATCGATACCTTTAAAAATTTGGATAAGCGCCTCATATTAATGGCAACGCTAACTTGTTAAATCATAGAAAACCTTCTAAAATGTTCCATTGCGTTGTTATAAAGTCAGTAACTGACACATTTAAATTCTTTCCAATCTGTGCCTGTGTTTATTTTGCGCTTTGTTTTGTTTCATAGTTATTTATTTAGCGACCATATTATTAGGAACTTTGATTGATTCGCGGTTTATTGTGCTTTTCGCTTGACTGTATTTGATCTATTCAAGTGTAACACTATTATTCTGTCTGTGCTGTGTATACCTATTTGAAACCACGGATCTGAAAACAAGACGGAGGTAATCTCTTCTATAATTATAATCTTGAGTGAAGCATGCCAATGGCCGCCGTTAACTGCGTGTCAGGTCCAAGTTAACATAAGTGGGTATAATGTTTTGTGTTAGTGGGTGTAATTTTAACCCCGGAGGGGGGGAAGGGGGTTGCTCATCAGGCCACAGAGGATCCGATCAGGCCCTATGAAATGTACTCGATACTTTAAAGTATCGATACTTTTGTTTCAATACTTTTACGAGTACGATACTTTTTTTCCGATACTACTCATGAGTACAGTATCGATACTTTCTATTCGATATCGTGTCCCTAGGGACCCCACGAAGTTAAATGTTTTTTTTATCATTGTATGTTAATTTAATCAGGGCCGCATTTAGAGGTGCTAAGCTAATGGTCACTGAAATCGAGACCAATAATTTATATATACAGAAAAAGTAATGCCTAGCCTAGTTATCATTTCTGAATCAAGTACATTTAAATAAAAAATGCCCATAATTTTTTTTATAGACCAAAAGATATGTCAGAAGTGGGATTCGAACCCACGCCCTCAGAGAGGACCAGAACAACTCACACCTACATTCGTAGGTAAGGAAACCTTGAGTCTGGCGCCTTAGACCGCTCGGCCATCCTGACAGATATTATGTTTGACGAAATTAGCGTATAGTTCCTAAATAGAAATTAATAATTTCAGTAATGCTTTAAAATTTGGAAATTCCATTCCCGGGGGATAGAAAACTTCCATCTACTCTACATGTTTCATGTGATAAAGTAAATAAAAATGTTGGTGTGTTAAATATGTAGATTTGTTTTATCATATCAGCGCCATCTATTGTCGTTCTTTTAAAAACAGCCTCTCTTTCTAGCAGTTTGATGGTAATGAAAAGCAGTACCCTAGTTTTAGCTACTCGTCACTAGATAGAGATTTAAGTGAAGTGAAATAAGTTCCTTAGTAATCTGCAAAATATTTTCAACAAGATTAATCAAGGTAACACTTACTTAGTTCTTTTTCCATTATCCATTTCACTTAACACAATAATAAAACCAGCCTATTAAAAGCATCACCATATTTTAAAATGTAATTTGTAGTTTTAGTTGGCACATAGGTATACCTAACTTCTCATATTTTTCAAAGTTAACATGAATGAACCTTAGGCCGTATACAGAAAGAAAGCCGAAAGCCGATCGGCGCTTATCGGCGCCGATCCTTCCTACATAAAGGATGCCGATTAAAGCAGATCAAGCAAAATGTCGGACTCATCGGACGATGATTTGGTTTTGTTAGAAAATGTTTATTTAAAAATGCGAAAAACAGCTATACATCCTATAAATAGAGAAAGGAAACGTTTCGGAGAATACCATCATTTATTTGTAAAAAAAATTAAATTTGATGAACAAAGATTTTATACATATATAAGAATGATTCAAGAAACATTTTATTACATTTTGGATTTAGTGAAAAACCGTTTGATGAAAAATTGGGGCAATTGGCATAAACAACCAATCCTTCCAGAAGAAAGACTTGTTGTCACCATTCGATAAGTACGAAACAAATAATTTTAGCGCTTAGTTAATAAAAGATAAAGTTATTAGATTTATAAAAAGATTATAACTTAGATTGATTTAATCTAAGGATAATAATTCAAATACAAATTATTTATTATCCGGACCAGCGAGTGTCGGCGCTTATCGGCGCCGGTCCATAGAAAAAGGATCAGCGTCAATAGGCGCCGATAAGCGCCGATCGGCGCTGATCGGCGCCGATCGGCTTTCGGCTTTCTTTCTGTATACGGCCTTAGAATCTTCAAATATCACTCTATAGAGTATCTTAATTATTCAGTTCCTTTTTATTACACTACACTTACATCAACACGTAATATTTTATTTGTATGCGTTGTGACGGCCGGCGGCGGTGATTGACAGTTGTAGAGACAGTAGGTAGGTACTTACCTCTGAATAAGTGTACTTACCAACACATTTATTTAAAATATTGTTGCCATGTTTGAAATTTGTTCAATAATTCCCTTCGTGCATATGCTTTGTTTTTTACGAATACATTTACATAACGAATAATTCCTTGTAAATAACATTCTCACATAATCTTGAATTGGCACTTCACATGGTTATTCGTATGTTCTATTTGTAAACAAAAAAACCACCTCTCCTTTACACCCCTTTTAAGATAATGGCAATCAACCAGGAACAACATGTTTTCAAAATATCAAGAAGAACATACAAATAGCTTTGTGAAGAGCCAGCATTTGTTGTTGGAAAATATTTTGAAATTATCCTCAAAATCTGTGAAAATGTGACTTTTGTTTTTATAACGTTTGTTTTTCCAAAGGAAGAAAAAGAAGAAAATAAGCTATAAGTTTAATAATTTTATTTTGTTTTGTAATCATTATTAATAGTAAAGTTGTAGCATTTACAACAATTTAGTAATTATTAAATAGTCTAAATTCAACTCCTCTTTGATTTGTCATTATTTAGTGCATAATATCTTTGAAACTTGATTGCCTTATTATTGCCAAATGATTAAAAGTTTGGCAATATGCTTCAAATGTCCTATTGAGAGTTCTCATGATATGGGTTGAAATTAGCCAAAAAAATGCCCAAATTAAGCACCTCAAAATATATTTTTGCTCATGACCAAAGCTGTTGAATTGGCTAAAGTTGTGGAGTCTTGGTACACAAGAAAGAAAGCTTTTATTGGCTCTCTCAACCCAGTTCTCAAATGATTGGTCAAATTATTCATAATCAAAAAATAAAAATAACAAGTAAACTACATCGATAGAACTTAATTTAAATAAATCTACCAGTTAAATGCTTACACAAAATATGATATAACTGTTTTATCAATAGACCCACACCCTGGCACTATTCTCTATAAGTAAATTCAATAGTTTCTCCTCTTCATTGTCTTTCAAACGTGGCAGTAGTGTACTAACATCAAAAATTTTGTGTTTTTGCTCCATGTTTAAGACAGTCAGTAGCCCATTGAATTATTAAGAGTTTGGTTTTTGAATAAAATACTTAACAAAATTCCAGAAAATTGCTTACAAATAATAATAACATAATCTTTGCACACTTAAATAACACAATTTTATTTTATTTGTTAAATTAATTAACGTAACTGTGCAACTTTTTCTCTTCGGCAAACCTTTTTATTTCATCATTCGAAGAGATTACATAATTCATATTAATACATTCTTTACTTTTAAAGGGGATCATACAATTAAGGAATTGGTACGATTTTAAAATTAAATTTGAAAAATTGAATTCTGTTATTTAAAAATATGGTTAAGAATAGTTTCCATTGCATTCAGGTATTTGCGAATTTAATTATTAGTTAGTACATTGAATACACAGAACAATACGCTATTTACATTGTCATAATGTTTACCTAAATCTCAAAAAAATCCAATCATATAGATTCTTTTATTTTAACAAAAATGGCCTTTGCCAATAAAGAAAATTAAATTCTTAATCAAGACAGGATGACAACAATATAAATAACTTAAAAGGACAAGGCAGAAAAGATTCATGATATCTGAAAAATTACAGCTGTCAGAATTCCTTTGAATTTAAAATCAGCCTATGGATTAACATTTTGTTATGTTTAACTTAAACTTCTTAACAATAATATAATTCATCTTTCACTGAAAACATCTGATGACAATTCATTATTCAATGAAACACTCAATCTTCCATTGTTAATAACTTTAGATCTTTTTATCCTCCTTTAATTTTTTATATTAAAGGAAGCATTGACACAATTAATCTCCCATCACAAGAGATTAATACGGAACTTTCACACAGTATAATATAATTATTTCCTTCAGTCTAACACTTGGCAGTCCTCATCGTCAACAAACCCACCATTCAGCGCATTATTCATAATGTCATTTTTGTACTTCCTTAGTTCACTATTTATGAAGCTTCTTCGTTCCTCTTTCTTCCTCATACTAGAAATCTTCTCTGGAGACGGTCTTTCTGCCAGTCCTTTTGTGAAAGTGTAGATCACCGTCGTAGAATCTCCCTCGATGAACGCCAAATTGATAGATGGCCCGGTTTCAACTGTGCATAAATTCTCTTGTATCATGTTGATGAATTCCATATTTATATCATCGTATGTTGAAATTGGTACATAAATGTTGATTTTCTCGTCTTTACTAGGCCGCGCTACTATATAGAGCGTATCAATATCAGTATTGTAACAGTATTCTGTGTCGTACATTAATTTTTTGTCGACCAAGTGTATGTATAAATGGTAGGCGAGGGCAATTTTCATATCAGAATTGCAGCCCAGAGACTTCATGTCCTCTTTAATTTTACTTTCAATTTCCATTGTACTTACGTAGCTAGGGTTTCCTTTTAATAGTAGATAAATCAAAATATTAAACAAGCAAAATCTAACCTCAAAGTCCAAAGTGAACCTGCATTTATGACATGGGGCTGCGTTCCATACATACACTCCAGGTGCAATGCAAGTGGTCTTTGAGTTTGTTTAAGTTTGATAGATACATTTTATGTCAAAATTGGAACATCATAGTGAAAAGTTGTACCTAAAGTGTTGAAACGCAACGTAGCCCTGGATTGCGTTGTTGCTTTTCGTATCTACACTAACCTCCCATAGATGGTGCCACTCATGAAGATAAAATATTGAAGAATTATTCAAAACGCTACCTGCAAATAGGGCTGATGAGTTTTGCTTTTACTCACTAGATAGCATATTTCATATTATGTGATTATCTCAATGCTTATTTACAAAAAGTAAAATGTTGATAGGTTGTTATTAGTGTCGATTCTGGCATGTCTCTTTAAACTACATTTGATAACAAGGACTATCCTTGTCATGCTCTGTACAGAATGAAAAGGAGAGACTGATAATAAATTTAATTTTAAGACTTTTAAGTTTAGAGAATGCCTGGATCGACACCATTGTTGTTCTTCGTTTCATAAGAAATGAGAAGTTTTACTGTATTTGTATAGTGTAGAACAACCATGGACAACGTATGACTTTAAATGACATTAAAATTGGACGTCTCTGAGTACAGACTTATGAAAAGCGACGCCACCCTTCGCGAATCTTCGCCACGCCAGGGGTCAAATCAAAAAGTACTATTTTCTATGATCAGAATCACATTAGGGACATCTGTTATGACGCAATACGCCAAAGAAAATACGCCTCGAGTCGCGTGTGGCATCGCGTTTCATAAGTCTGTTCTGCCTTTACGAATCCGTAGCCGTAGATTACTTTCGAAACTTCAGCCTCTAGGATGTACGGCTTCCTTTGTGTCCTTGAAAAAAATATGAAAAAGGGCATTGTTGGTTGCTGTCATAGATAAATGATTGGTGTCGCAAGCGTAGCGAGACCAATCACTTATCTATGGTTGCTGTTATATTATTTCCACTAAAAATATATATAATTGTATTAATTCCTATTCGTTACCCTAATCCCCAACAACACCATGCTTTACAGTGTTTCCAAGGTTAGACGAATTGAGTGGTTCTTCAGAATAACAACTTATTTATTTAGGCTTTTTTTAAATATTTTGTTTCCTTTCTTGTGATATTCAATAATTAAACTCCTCGGCATTGTTTAAAAGAAATCGTAGGTCCGAGGTTGGGGGACCTAGGCCATGGGGCCTGTTCCATCCCTCACATCTCTGTTTATGGTATTTAATTTTTAAGCTGTATTTCTGTAATGTACAAAAATTGTGGAGAGGAAAGTTTTGTTTTTGTTATAAACATAGAATGTATTTAACTAACTCATGGTGGTTACTTCAGTAAATAATATACTATTACCTACGTATTCTGACGGGGCTGTAGAAAATAAACAGACTTATTTTTAATTAAATTTTATATTTATTTATTAAAATTATAAACAGATATGTTTAAGGGTTGTATTGTATAATACAAAGTGCAACATCGTTAAAGCAGACAAGCGTTAGTAAAAAATAATCTGTAGGATTTTATATTTGGCTTTGGATCGGGTAATTAAATACTATAATAGTACTTATTTAAAATGTTGCTTGATTCTTAGTAAATCAACCAGAGAATGTCCTCATTGTCTCGATTACAATAATACTCTAAGAAATAAATAGATAAAGTTAAAAAAAAATAAAGTAGAAACTACTTAACATTAGGTTCGGTTACAAAAATAATTACTCAGTCAAAATAATTATAATACAAAAATAAAAATAACCTTAAAGTGCATTTAATCCAAGGTACTATGTTAACCGTTAATATTAATTTATAATATATTACACCGAGAAAAACTTTTATACGTGGCCACTTTCTAAAAGTTTATCTACATGTTACTATCTACAGGGTGATTATAGAAGAGGTGGAATCGAGTAAAGAGTAATATGCTATTTACAAGATTCCACCGTGTTTTCTTAAGTTTAATTAACAATAAATATTCCTAATAAAGATAGTATTACTATGAAATCCGGCCACAAGCAAAGTTTCCTTTACAATTCTCACAAAACTTAATGATTTTGGCTTTGCTTGTTCTGGATTTTTAGTTTTCCAATTTGAAATTGTTAATGTCCACACTTCACCTTACATTTCACTACTTTGAACACAAGTCTTTAGCACCAATTTTTCTTATTTAATGTATCATTTTATAATATGTCTTTGTTAGTTTTAATACATTTTCCTCTAAAACATATTTCTGTTTCGTGTGATATTTCGGTTGACATAGATGTGCTTATAACATTGGCTGGATTCATGAAACTCGATTCAGATGATGTTTCTACTTTTACTGGTTCAGTGGTTTCCTGCATATTAGTGTTTTCTCTGTTTATATCAGTGAAATCTGTAACTGTCTCCATATTTTCTTCAGATGGGACTGATGTGATTTCCTCAGGTATATAATTGGTTTCGGTTGTTGCTAATTTGGATTTTATTGGTTCTGTTGTTATTATAGCATCTGGCTTTTGTTTTGTTTCATGCGTAACCACAGTGGTTGTTTTGTTATTCTGTTCAACTTTTTCTTTATCAGATGATTTTTTATCAGATGTAGTCCCGAAGAAATAATCCATTATGCTAAAGCTATCTGATCGGTCTAGGAAAGACAGTACGCTCTCAGTAGAGGTTGCTTCTGTAGGAGTGCTGTAGTACATACTGTCCATTAAAGTTGGATCGGGGGCTCCAGTACCTAAATCTATTTCGTCTGGACTAACAAGTTTCTCAGTGGTCATTTCCTTGTCTTCGTACATACTTTCAGTACGGTCAATCTTACTTTCGCTTGTTGTCTTAGGAATTTTGGAAATGTCGACGTTCGGAATGACTTCTTCAGGAATATCATCATCAGTTTCAAAGAAGTCTTTGATGAATTGGAAATTAGATGGTTTGTAAGTAGTTACAGATACTTTTGTTCTATCTTTGTTGTTTGTCTTGCCGTGAACATTTTTAGATGATGTGATAGGATCTCCAAGTTGGTTGACAGTGTTTGTATAATACTGAGATTCGGCTGCCTCAATGGTTTCCGTACTGACTGGACGGACTTTGACCTTCTTCCAGTATCCTCGACGACGACCTTTTGAGTCAGGTTGCTCCTGAAAGTAATAAAAATTTTCATTAAATCAATGCATGCAACATGGTGAAAGTTATGCAAAATTGCTGAATTAAAACAATTTACTATAAATTGCATGAAAATTCAAAATTAAATAGTTTATAGTCAAAAAATATTGTACAGCTAGTAATTTTTAAATAAATATTAACAAAATATTTATATGCTATATGTTGGTTTATACCTTTTCATTGTTGGTAGCGTCTTCATCCGCTGAGACAGGAGAGGTGGCTTCCTGTTCTATGGTAGTTCCTTTCTGAATGTATTCATCGCCAGATGTAATTATTCTATCCGGTGGAATCTCACCGATTTCACCGCCTTTGTGTTTCATCACATTTTTAGTATACTCATCTTCATCTTGTTCTTCTAAGTTTTTCATAACTTCCTCCAGCATTGTTTCGAAAGTAGACATTGACTCACTAGATTCAGTTTTAGTTGTCTTACTTTGTTCGACCAATGCTTCGAGAGTAGGGGGAATCTCAGGTATTTTTTTAATCGTCCTTGTATTAGTAGCAGGAGTCACAGTTAAAAGGATTTCATCATAGTCATTTCTGGCTGTTATAATATCTAGTTCGGCATTATTATTTCTATGTTCAGTAGTAAATAATTTTGTGTCTTCAACGATATCATTTGGATTGTAAGGTTTAAAGGAATCCCCAGAAATCTTTGGTGACCATTGATCATTATCTGGTGCAACATATTTAGGTCTATTGATTGAGTAGTTTGACTCCTGGTCTTCCGATTCTTGAGCAGTGTTATCTGGTCTACTATTATATCTTTCTGATATTCTGGTTCGGTGATTATATCTTTGATGAGGTGAGCTTTTTACAGTTGATGATGTTGTAGTTTCAGATTTAAGTTCATTCTTTTCAGATGGTTTTTCAGTAGGTCTTCTACCTCTGAATCGTCCTTTGGTTTCATATATGTTTTTCTTTGTACTGGTTGCTTCAGTGGATGTGGTAGAATATCCAGGTCGTCTTCTGCGGAAGTGTCCCCGCTTAGTTGTGCTGTCTAAAGCAGTTGCTACAGTAACAGCAGGATCTGTAGTGGGTTCTGGTCTGTACACAGGATGCTTATAATCTTGGGATTCTGTCCGGGAATGAACTTGTTTAGTTTTTAAGTCAGCTTCAATTTCTTCAATTCGCATAGTGGTTCGTCGCCTATCAAAGGCGGGTCTATGCGTGACAGCATGCACCTTCTTTCTTTCAGGCTTTGTTCTAGAACTTTCAGTAGAAGATGCTTGATGATACTGTCTAATTACTCCTGGACGTATTCTGACTCTATTATAAGAAGGTGTAGTTTGTACAACATTTTCTTCTGTTTCGGTGTCATGAGTTTCTTGACTAATTATCTTTGTATTATCTTCTTCTTTTATTGTTTGCCGATCTTCTTGATTGTTTGTGGAAAAGTCATTACTGAAAGAGGGATTTTGGTCCGCAATTGAACTTGTTGGTTCAGTAGCATGTGATACTTCGGACGTCGTTTGCTTAGATTTGTCTTGTTGTTTTTCGTTAGAGTCTTCAAATAAAGAAATTGATTGGACTGGTGCAACACTGCTTCTGGATTGATAAATGTAGTCTTCATTACGAGTTGATGGGAATTTGGAGACATAAGCAGCTTCAGTTTGGTATTCTGTTTCAGAGCTGTAAATGGGCGTATTTTCATTTGATCCTGAATTTTGGAGGTAGCTTATAGATGCTGATTGGTGAGCATATGCATTTTCAGTATCATAAACGTCACCTTCGTTTCCAAACGTTTTAGTTGACGAAAAGTTAGGTGTAGGTTCAGTCATTGCTTCAATATCAACGGTACTCATTCTCTCCATTAATGTTACCGGATAGTTTTGATGTAAAACGTCCCTTTGATAAGCCAAATCTTCCTTCTTTG